CCTCCTATGTGGTTCAGGCCTGTAGGAGCCTTGGTTGAGGAACTTTAAACTAACACCAAAAAACCCAAATCCACCACTAGCAAGTCGATCTCAACTCACTGTGACAGGATAGAGCAGAGCTGTCCTATCAAGTTTCCAAATCTCTGTTTATGGAAGCAGTCACAATTCTCTCCCACTAAAACCATTAGGGGTAAATTTCCCTTTAAAAAAAGAAAACCTAAAGAACCACAGATTTGTATGCAGATATTAAGGAACATATGTTGTTATGTATCGAAGAATGCCTGTGACTCATAGTGCCCCTCTATACAACAGCTGTATACAACAGTCTGCCCTGTTTTGAGCCAGTCTCAATGACACACATACTCCCATTGCCCTAGTAACTGTATCCATCGATATGATCTGGACTCTTCCTCTCCTGCGCTGTCCCTCCACTCTTCTGAACACGATGTCCTTCTCCAAGGATCAGTCCCTCCTGGCCACATGCCCAGAGTATGTGAGACAGAGTTCAAAATCCTAGCTTCCAAGGAGAGATTTGGTTTCACTCTCTCCAAGACAGACCTACTTATATTCTTGGCAGTCTATAATATGTTCAAGACTCTTCTCCAGCAGCACAATTCAAAGGCAGCAATTCTTTTTGTCATCCTTAGTCATTGTCCAGCTCTCTAATGAATGGCAAGTAACTGTTAAGACCATGGCCTCGATCATGCGCACCTTAGTCTCTAAACTGACATCATTGCTTCTCAGTACTCTGGAATGCAATTTGTTTTTTGATTCTTGACTGCTGGTTCCAAACCTGTTGACTGTGGAGCTGAACAAGCTGTGAATGTTAACAACCTCAATCTCTTCTCCATTCATCATGGTGCTGCCAATTAGCTCAGTGGTGAGAGTATCTTCTTGATGTTGAGCTTCAATCCATACTGAAGATTACAGTCCTTGACCTTCTGCAGCAAATGCTTCAGGTCCTACTCAGTTTCAGCAAACAAGGTATTGTCTATCTGAATAATGTAGGCTGTTGATGAGTCTTCCTCCAATCTTAATGCAACATTCCTCCTCATAAAGCCCAGCTTCCCAAATGATCTGTTCTGCATATAAATTGAAAAGGTATGGAGACAGGACACAGTTCTCATGCATTCCATTTCTGATTTTGGACCATGCAGTGTTTCCTTGCTCTGTTCTGAGGACTGCTTCCTGGTCCAAGTATAGGTTTTACATAAGCACAATCAAGTGTCTGGGATTCCCATTCTCCTCAAGATTAACTAAAATTTGTTGTGATCCAAATAGTCAATGAAACACTGATAGATACCCCTCTGGTACTCTTTGCTTTCTACTAAGATCCATCTGACAAGGAATACATACCTATGTATAAATCTGACACTCCCTTAAACAGCACTCTTAAGTAGAAAAGCAACTAAAATCCTAACCTCTTTTTCCTCTTTCTGTTGCTCCTTCCTACCTACATAACCAGGCACTAAGCAATATAGGTTTTTAGTGAAATGAGGTTCACATGCACCTCTTGTTTAACTTCCAAATTCCTGATCAATGACTACCATTTATACAGATTTTAACTTTGGAGTAATTATTTTTTAAGAAATGAAGTTCATTAACTATAGAGATCAAGAAATCAGCATGTATTTAATTCATATTAAGTATGTGGTACTGTGCTGGACTGGGAGGGAATATAACTGTTTTATAAAAATGGAAAGTTTTGTTTCTCAAATATACCTTATTCCTTTCTAGTTCGGACCTTGACTTCTCACGCACAGTATTGCTAGACTCCTCTATTCCAAATCTGTTATGTGTAAAAAAATTGCCAAAATAATCCTAGTAAATAATTTGTTATCGTATCCATTCCCTAAAGAGGACAATGAAAGGTTATGCTTCTCTGTCCACTGACTGTCAAAGTCATTGCTGTGGAATTGGAACCAAGTCATACAGTGGGTTTTCAGGAGAATGTAAATCGCACAGGAGGAAACCTCCCATCTTTGTCCTTAGGAAGCCCACAGTGGATTTGACCTTTCAGAGAGGTGAGGCCTTTAGGTTAAAAATACAACTTTCTACTGACTACTCCACCAAAGCTCCCTCACTGACCCATAGCCCAATAAAACCAGCCAGTTGCTGAGTGTAGTTAAGTTGGAACTGACGCACAGCTGACGCTTCAGTAGGTTTTCAGAGACAGTAAATGACATGGGAAGAGACTGCCCATCTTTCTCCTGTTGAGCAGCAGGTGAATTTGAACCGTGTACCTTTGTATGGGCAGCACAAATCCTTAACCACTAAGCCATGATGCTTAATAGTCCTGGAAGTTAACAGACTTTAAAACATTAAATGTTGAACATATAGAAGAATGGATGTAAGTATCTGGTATCTCTTTAAGACATTTCACAATTTTTATTCCACCCAATTCCATTCCCAACTATTGGCTGCTATTAGGTGCCCCCTAGTTGATCCAAACTGACACACCTTTCTCCCAAGGAGCATCTGGTGGGTACTAACCACAACGCTTGTAATTCTGGCTACCTTAACTTCTTATTGTGCTTATATCCTCTATAAATGTTCAAGTTGGCCTCTACTCAACTAAATTTACATTCCTTGACTATCCAAATCTAAGCTATTCTCCAAAGGTAGGTTGAAATGCCATTTCCCTTGCAAACCCCTATTAGATGAGCTCAATTCATCCTTCTACTTATTTGATTTACAAATGTCCTACAGCAAAAGTGTTTGAATCACTTACTTTAACTTGTAGTCCTATATTATCTTGTCTCATTTAATTATTCTATGTGTATTTCCACCCCAGAATTTCCAACTCAAGGATGACAGTCACACTACTCACTGCAGCAGCTAATCATCAGTGACACAAGAATATTAATGCTAACAGCTATTAGCACCACTGTTTGATTAACATATTGTTTGCTACTAGGTGCTGTTGAGTACAACTCATAGCAACTCTACGAACAATATATCTGAGCCCTGTACTATCCTGTGCCATCCTCATCTCTGATATACTCTAGTCCACAGCAGTCACTGTGTCAGTCAATCCATCGGGTTGAGAGTCGTCATCTCTTCCGTTGACCCCCCACTTTTCCAAACATGATGTCCACCTACAAGGCACAGCCTCTCCTAACAACATCCCCAAAGTATGTGAGACCAAACTTTGTCGTCTTTGCCTTCAAGGAGCACTCTGGCTACACTTTCTCCAAGACATATCTGTTTGTTGTTTTTGCATTTCATGGGAGAATTCAGTACTCTTCTCAAACACCACAACTCAAAAGCGTCAATCCTTCTTTTGTATATTCAATGACTACATAGTATATGCCAATAACTGTGTTAAGTAATCTACTCTTATTCTCTTCAATCCTTTTTTTGTTGTTTGCTGTCAAGTCAGGACCAACTCATTCATAGCTGACCTTTCAGTGGGTTGTCAAAGGCTGTAAATTACATGGGTGGAGACTGTCCATCTTTCTCCTGTGGAACATGTAGTGGATTCGAACCATGTGCCTTTTGGGATGGCAGTACCATTCCTTACCAATAGGCCACCAGTTAATCAATCCTTTCAGACAGCCTTACCAACTTTTCATAAATAAAAAGAAACTTTACCCAAAGCTATGAAATTAGTGAGGATACGGGTGAAGGCTGGGGTGGGTGATTCAAACTCAGCTCTGTTTTCCACACTCAACTACTAACTACCATATCATACTATTTATTACCTTGGTCATTAAACCTTATCTCCTAAATGTAAGCTGTAAACAATAACCAAAACTGTTACTGCTTTGTTCATTTCCAGAATTAGTGATTCATACTCAAGTCCTTCCCATAAAATAGTTCTTTAATTGTCAGAACAACTCTGAAATAGTATTATTGCCATTTTACAAATGAGGAAACACACACAGAAAGGAAAGTAACTTGCCCTACCACACCATATGGCCACTAAGTAGTAAATTCATGGGTTACTGTGAGTAAAGTACTTCATTCATTGATTCATTCCAGTTTTTATTAAGCACTCTTCTAGTGGCTGGGATACAAATAAAAGAGAAAATATCCTTGCTCTCATGGAGCTTACAATCTTACTTCTTCCCTATTTTGAGCAGTCCTATACCTTCTTAAATATTAACCCTGATATTCCATACAAAACTTCATACTACCTCCTGAATTAAATTCCCAACTCCAACCAAAGTCATTTAACTAGCAGGAATGCAACTCTGGGGAAGTCTCTTCCCCTCTCAAATAAATGCAGGACCTGTAAAACAAATTACTTCTGAGATAATGTATTAAACTGTGCAACTAGCACTGTATATGCTAAATAAATTTGTTTACCTTTCTTTTCTCTTACAGTAATTTCATAATTTGTTGTCTCTGAGCACATGTTAAAGACTACTAGGAGTTCCATTTAGAACGGGGGGGGGGCGCGGAAAAAAAACCCACCACCCCAGCCTTTTACTTTCTGGAGCAATTTTCACTCTAGATTATCATCATTAAAGCTCTAATTTTAATTAACTCTCGTCTATTCTGATGCAGCAAAACGAAGTTACAACTCGGATACGATAGGAATTCACTTTGGGACCTGGCAGCGTGTGCAAAACGCTCCCGATGACCTTCCTCAGGAGGCATTTTTCTCTCTGCTGGAGAATAACGAGGGCCCGTGCCGGGAGATGGGATAGCGGGCTGGGCAATTTCGAGCTCTGGCACGAGGTCGTGCCTTGCTGATCGAAACGCTCTACAACTCTCCTGCCACCTGCCAATCCCACGACCACCTCATCTGGGCTTCAATTCCACCTCCTCTCACCCTATGCATATGCTCAGGCTTCTCTGAAACTTGTTTCCCGCCGCTCGAGTGACCTCCAGCCCGGGTTAGGCGGTGGGGCTGGAAGAGGCCAAGCCGAAGGCCTCGCCCGGCGCGCTCTGGCTACCTGACCTCAAAGCGGGTTTTCTCTTCCACCTTCCTACCAAGCAGGGTCTTGAGTCACCGAGCCGGGGCCAGGTCTAACACGGACTATATCCTTTACCTATTTTCACGACCGTATCCGCCAAGCACCGGTCCCACTTCCTGCCGAGCTCTGAATCCGACATGATCCCCTCCCGCAGCTCCAGCTCTTCTTACGACCGGCCCCCGCGCTCGGACGTCACACAAGTATCGCGAGAGCCGGCCGAAGGCCTTAAGCCTGGAAGACCAGTGCTGCGTCGCCAAATACCGCGAGAGAAAGTAGCTAGGCTACAATTGCTTCCGGTTACCCTACTTGGTCGTCAAGGTGACGAGCGGTGGGGAGTCCCGAGGTGACCCTGACCTTGGAGGCACAGATAACTAAGGGAAGCTGGACTGTCAAGTTGCCAACGCAGCATCCAGAGCCCTGTCGAGACATTCTCTGCCCTCTGTCTGACAATGACCTTGGAAAACTTTACAAGTTGGTTTGTCATTCATTTACTTGACTTGCTTGCTACTTCATAATTTCTTACCTTGGAAGTCCCACCTGCACCATTAAAGATCACCTTTGCCAAATTGGATACACGCTTTCTTGACCTCTGTACAGAATTCTACATAACGTTCCCTCCTTTCAGATACTCTGTGTCTCCTTTACTGAAGTCCCAAGACATCACTGAATTCTCCACCCTCGCTGACTTCTCTGTTGATGTCTTTCCATGGCTGCTACTTCTCAGCAAGTTTCTTGTTGTTGTTGTTGTTGTTATGTGCCGTCGAGTCTTTTGCGACTCATAGCGACCCTATGTACAACAGCCCCAAACCCTGCTGTATCCTGTGCCAATCGCACTGTCTCTGATACTCCCATCCCGATTACCCCAGTCACTGAATCAATCCACCTCATAGAAGGTCTTCCCCTCCTGCGCTGTCCCTCCACTCTACCCAGCATGATGTCCCTTTCTAAAGACCTGTCTCTCCTTACAATATGTCCAAAGTATGTCAGACGAAGCCCCAGAATCCTTGCCTCCAAGGAGCAGCCTGGTTTAACCCTCTCTACGATGAATCTGTTTGTTTTCTTGGCAGTCCATGGTACGTTCAATACTCTTCTCCAGCACCAAAGCTCAAAGGCAAGTTTCTTAAAGAGTGATAACTTACAAAGTCCTATTAGTCCGTTTTTCTCCCTTTGTATCATTGCAATCACTGACAACTTACTTGGGTAGATCTGAATCTGCCTCAAGTTTTCCATTCATAGATTCAGCCTTTTTGTTGTTGATTTTTATATAGTTGTCTCTCCCCACTCCCTTTTCATTCTCGTCCATCCAACAAATAGAAACCTGATTGGTTGCTTTTCTACTTAACTGTCAGTAAATGGTTCCCATCCAGCTACTGGACATACCCAGCTTAAATGATCTCATTCTTGGAAACTATACTGAATGAAAAGGTCTTTTCAATCTTTTCATTGTTCTACAGACTTTCCTTCATATCTTTCTCATCATTTTATTGAAACATTACTTTTAATATTTGTGTTTACCAGAAGATTAGAAGCTTCTTGTGGGATTGAGCTGCTTTTTCTTCATCTTTACCCTCCTACTCAAAGCAAGGTGTTCATTAAATGACATTGAATTAATTTACCCATTTGTATTCTTTGTTACTTTAATTTGGTACTACAATCTCAACCTGTGACTGTATGTGAAATGTGAGATGAGGTGTTTTGGCGACTTTAGACATATAGCCAGGAGAGACCAGTCTTCAGAGAAGGACATCATGCTTGGAAAGGAGGAAGGACAGTGCAAGAGAGGAAGACCCTATATGAGATAGATTGACTTTGGTGTAATGAGGGTAGGTGTGTCATAGACAATGAAAATGGTTCAAGATAGGACAGAGCTCAGAGCTATTGTACAGAGGGTCACTATAGAGTCACAGGCAACTTAACAGCACATAACAATAAACAATATAGGTATTTAGAGCTACTGAGTGGCTTAGTGGTAGGTAAGGAGTTGTGTTGCATGCAGTTAGAATCTACCAGTTGCTCCATGGGGAAAAGATAAGCATTCTCCTTTCATACAATTTACTGCCTTTGAAAACCTTCTAGAGGGTAGAGTATAGGTCAGCTCTGATTTGATGATACATAAGAAGAGGATATTTAAATTTTTAAGACTGAAGAAAACTTGATGCCTTTGAATTGTAGTGTTGGTCAAGAGTATTGACCATGGACTGCCAAAAGAACAAACAAATCTGTCTTGAAGGAAGTACAACCAGAGTGCTCCTCAAAGGCAAGAATGGTGAAATTTCATCTCACTTATTTTGATTATATATTGAGGAGTGAAATGAATTTTCACCATCCTTTCCTCTAAGTAGCACTCTGGTTGCACTTCCTTCAAGACAGATTTGTTTGTTCTTTTGGCAGAAGGTCAAGGGACTGAAACCTCCAATATGATTTAAAGCTCAACATCAAGAAAACAAAGATCCTCACCACTGGGACAATTGGCAGCATCATGATAAATGGTGAAGAGCCTTAAATTGTTAACAGCTTTTGTTTGCTTGGCTCCACAAACAATACTTTTGGTACCAGTAGCCAGGAAATAAAAAGAAGAAAGGAAAGTCTGCTCACAGGAACATCTCCAGAGTACTGAAGAGCAATGATGTCAGTCTAAAGACTAAAGTGGGCCTGAGCCAAGCCATGATCTTTGCAGTTACATGCTATGCATCAGAAAGCTGGACAATGACCAGGGATGATAGAAGGAGAATTGATGCCTTTGAGCTGTGGTTCTGGAGAAGAGTATTGAATATACCATGGACTGCTGAGAGCACAAACAGGTTCATCCTGGAGAAGGTGAAACTAGGCAGCTCCTTGGAGGTAAGGATTCTGAGGCTTTGTTTGACATACATTGGGCATGTTGCAAGGAAGGACCAGTCCTTGTAGAGGGATATTATGCTTGAGAGGTGGAGAGAGAGTGCAGGAGAGGAAGACCCTCAATGAGGTGGACTGATTCAGTGACTGGGATGATGAGGGTGGGTATGTAGGAGACAGTCAGGTTGGCTTGGGATAGGATTCAGAGCTACTTTGACAGCATATAACAACAGCAGCAACATTCAGGAGGAACCAGTCCTTGGAGAGAGACATCGTCCTGGGAAAGGGAGAGGATTGGTGAAAGAGAGGAAGACCTTCAACAACGTGTATTGGCACCATGACTACCACAATGAGCTTGAACATGACAAAGATCATGAGGATGGTGCAGCACAGAGCAAGGTTCGGATCTGTTGTTCATACATTGGCTAACTGTAGCTAACTTGGTGGTACCAAACAACAAGAGATGGAATGCAGCCTTCAGTGTGGATTGTATCTCAATGCCAAGAAAACAAAAATTCTTATCACTAGACCAATAGGTAACATCGTGGTGGATGGAGAGGAGGTTGAAACTATCAACAGCTTCCTCTTGCGTGGATCCATAGTTAACACCCTTAGCACCAGCAGTCAGGAAATAAGGAGACTCATTACACTGGGAAAGTCTGCAATTAGGCACCTTTCCAGTTTATTGAGGAGTAATGATGCAATTTGAGGACTAAAGTGCATCTTATTTACCCATGGTCTTTCCAATTATTTGCTATGCATCTGAGAGATGGACAATGAATAAGGATGAGAGAAAAAGAATTGACGCCTTTGAGCCATGGTGTTGGAGAAGAGCAATGAACATCCCATGGACTGCCAAAAGAGCAAAACAATATATCTTGGAGAGGGTGCAGCCAGAGAGCTCTTTGAAGGCAAGAGTAATGAGGTTTCATCTCGTGTAGTTTGGGCAAGTTGCGAGGAGGGGCTATTCCTTGGAGAGGGACATTATACTGGAAAGAACGGAGGGTTGGGGAAGGAGAGGACGACCCCCAACCAAGTGGATCGGCACGGTGACTGCTGCAATGGGCTTTTGTGTGCCAGGATGTGTGAGAATGGTGCAACGTAGAAGAGGGTTCAGATCGTGTGCTCATAAATTCGTTATGAGTTGTACTTGATTCAATGGCACCTAATAACAACAACAGAATTCTTAAAACAACCCTGGTGGTATTGTGCCCTTGAATTTGACCTTAAGCCCATGGAGAATGAAAATTATGTCATTTCTGTATTGCCAGTGACTAGCAAGGAGCGTCACATATAATAGACTTTGAACAAATATTTTTTAATGAATATAAGATTGAGCAGAAGACTGAGGATGGGCAGGGTGGGAGAGTGGGGTTGGGGGTGCTGATCATAGGGTCACACAATTTGATGGGGAGGATGAAAGAAATGGTAAAGATCAGGTGTGAAAAACAACCTATGCAACCTTTGTAAATAAACAAGTATAAAATAAAAATTTAAAAAGACTGAGTATATAAAATGATTGATTGAACTAATAAATTGGGGAAGGTGATGATCCCTGCTCTGAACTCTGTAAGTATTGCATGTGTGTGGCAAAATAAAACAAAAATTAACTAATGGACCATTCTGCTGGAAATTGTAGGTTTGTACTATTGACCTTTCAGTTAGCAGACCCATGCTTACCTCACTGTTATCCCAGGGATTCTTTAGAATTCCTATTATAAAAAAATAAATACACAAAAACTTCACAGATATCAACTATGTTCCGCCTTATAATGCCCCTCCACCTGGTTTTCAAGGCAGTAAATCTTTAAGGGAGGAAACTAACCATATTTCATCCTTGAAGTGCCTCGTGGATTCAAACTGCCTCTGCTTAGGTCAGCAGGCTGCTCCCTTACACATTACACCACAGGGTCCCTTATTATTCTGTTGTCATTGTTGTATACCAATGAGTCCAATCGGGGCCTACTCATAGCTGACCCTCAGTGAGTTTTCAGAGGCAGTTAATCACACAGGCAGAAATTACCTACCAATGTACTTTTTGGTTGACAACACAATTCCTTACTACTAGGCTGCCAGAGCTCCCAGTTGAAATATTTGTAGTTTATCATTTAGATATATGCACCAACAACCAGAGCCAAAGAAGAGGAAGTAGATGATTTCTACCAACTTTTACAGTCAGAGATCAAGTGAAGATGCAATCAAGATTCATTAATAATAATGGGTGACTGGAATGCAAAATTTGAGAACAGAGTAGAAGGATCAGTAGTTGGAAAGCACGGACTTGGTGACAGAAATTAAGCTGGAGATAGGATGATAGAATTTTGCACAATCAACAATTTATTT